ACTTTGTGCTATGATGTTTAGTGTAAGTTATTGTTAATAAATGTAATAAGTTAATAGTAATAAAGTTCATGAGAACACTTTTGCTGAGTGTGCATGCTCTTACAAATCTGACTTGTAGTTGTGTGCAAAAGTTTGGGCAACCCCCCTTTGTAGCTTGTTTTGATTGGACTGTTTTAATTCATTTTCTTCCTTTAAAACGTCACCAAAGGGAATCTTACACAGCATTGTAAATGTTAACCAGGCAATATAGACAACATTTTGACTGTCCTTAGTATTACAATTATATTGCTATTTGTTATGATTGATACCCCTTGCAAAATATTAGGAAGGCAGTTTAATAATGCAGACTGTTCTGCATTTTTTTATTGCCAAAATAATTTACCTTGGATCCCATTGAACACTTTGATTCTTTAAAACACCCACAGAAACAATGGGACTGTGATGGATGAAGAACTTCACAGCATAGAGAGAAAAAACCCTGTGATTGGTTAGAAGCTCATTTCCATGTCACAGTCAACAATAATAATATGGCAAATGTGATATCAATCAACAAACAGTATATTCATATATGCCAACTTGAAATTTACCATTTTTAATGATGAACGGTGTAGATTTGGCACATTTTAATTTTAGGAAGGGGCCAACATGCAGATATTGCATTTCATTTTTTATGGACCAATCAGATCTAAGATATCATCACCAAATGCGGTAAGAGAGCCATGTTTCGTGAGCAGTGAAGTTTAATTTTCACTTATTTGGATTTCTTTCTTCAGTAGCTTTTAAACAGTGGGTGAAAAAGGGTTACAATTGAAAACCATCTTCTGTTTATCTTTTGTCTGAAATTGATGTAGCACACAAGTTCTGTAAACTCTTGTAACTACTATGAAAGTTGAACAACTGTAGACAAACAACACTGCAGTGACAATCATCGGGGTCCAAGCACTATGTACCATTATAGAGTAGTAGAACACAAATGACAGGCAAACTCTTAAAATGGACTCTTTTTATAATAGATGTGGGGTCTCAGATGGAGATGTCTGCCAGATTTCTTGGCCTTTTGACCTTGGTATGTTAAGCAGCAGCAGGCTTTAAAAAATTTGTCCAAAATTGTGGACAATGCATACATTTGCCTAGTTGTTTACCCCATGAACTAAATAATTCCACAGTATTTACCCCTGTATTTTAGTCTCAGAGTGCACCAGAATTTTCTTGTTAAAATTATGAACATGGGTTTCCTGCCCACAGGGAATTGGTCTGTACATTGTGCAGCCCAAGTAACTATGCAAAAAATATATAATGTTAGCAACTGTGTAATAACAAGTCAAGTCAAGTCAAGAGGCTTTTATTGCCATTCCATCCATGTACAAGTACACAGTGGAGTGAAATTACATTCCTCCAGGAACAAGGTGCAACAAGGAACAAAAAGTACAACGTGCGAACGTGCAGACATAAGTGTGCAAACAAAAGATTAGGCCAGAAACAATACAATAAATACAATAAATTAAACAGACATTAGACACAGTAAACAGATAAGACAGTGCAGCGCCGACACAGCACTCATTTCTGAACATGAGGTATGAAATTTAAATATTACATAGTTGGTAGTGGAATAAGGTGTTAGATATCTCTGCACCTTATTCCTCTACCAACTATGTAATATTTAAATTTCATAACTGAGCAGTTATCAAATTAGTAATATAATAATAGCAGCCCTTATACATCCTTATCATGTTCAGTAAATTGCAGTCAGTTGGGTGGTGATTTACTTGTAATTTGCTGACCCTAGTCAACAAACATTTATTTGATGTACAGTACCATGCAAAAGTCAGATACCACCCTTCATTTATTTTACTTCCAGTCAAAACAGATGTGAAGTACAAGCTATTCATTTTTCAGCATCAGGAAAAAAAGCAGCAAACATTTTTAACTGAAAATTACTCAACTAAATATAATATCAGATTTTTCAGTATTTAGTGTGCTTACTCCTTGGCTTCATTACAGCTTCCATTCTTTTCAGGAGTCCAGTTTCTTTGTCTTAGAAGTTGCTTGCACTTTCTGCTTCTGCTTCTGCTTCTCACAAGCCAAATTATCACAAAACATTGAGATTTTTGATTTGCAAATGTGCTTCTTTTATGTCCATTTCTATTTCTCAGTCAGCTGTGTTCTTATCAGATATACAGTTGTATGCAAAAGTTTAGTACCCCTGGTAAATTTACATGTTTTGTTGGTTTTCTAAGTAAAATAAGTTAACACATCTACAGGGAGAACAGACTTACATATGCCATTTTCCAGGTAATTTTAGTGCACACTTTGCATATATATATATATATATATATATACAAAATGTTCTTCTGTACGTTGCATGCAATTACACACTTCCACCAGAGATGTCTCCCCGAAATGTACTTAGTGTAACTTTTAGGTTAGGCTTTCTCTTTTGAATGAAAAAAATGCTTTTAAGAGGACCGTTTAAAAATGTATTTAATATGAAGAGTACATACATTTAGACTTTAAACATACCTAAATACATACTAACTGTATTATTTGGAAGCACATATGTGTATTTATAGTGTAATTAAGCTGTGATTAAGCAATTTTATGGGTGCTTTTTGATCAATGTAATTTGTACTTACACTGTAAAATATACAAATACAAAATATACTGATACACTTCAGTGCTACTTATTGGGTTATACTGCAACTAAAATTCACTTAAATACATGTAAACTTCAAAATCACTTATTACACTTAGTTATATTCAACAAATAAAACAAGTATTTAACTGTAGTTTTGGAAAACATAATTTATTATACACTTAAACATATTATCAAGAATAAGAATACAACTTTATGCTTACAAGTGCTGTTTTGTTCTAAACTGAACAACTTACGTTGCAACAAAGAACATAAGCAATCAAGTTAACTTAAGACACAAATTCTACATATGAAATATATTTTAAATGTACAATACAAAATACATAAATTTGGGTATACCCATATTTGATTGCTAGTTAGTTTAAGGTTATATTGCAACTGAAATGCAAGCAAAATGTATTTTAAAGTGTCATTGCTTTAACATATACTGCTAAATAATGCGCTTATGTTGATGAAGTCAATTAAATAGACTTTTATTTAAGCACTTTTAGAAATACTTGTTACATGTTACTTTATATACACAAAATTAAAACAAAAACAGCTTAGTATTCTGTAAACATTTCAGGTTTACTATTCATGTACTTAAGCGTGCTGCTTTTTCACAAAGTGTCCAATAGTACATAGGAAAGTGCATAACTAAGCATGACCTTCCAGAGTGCAAAAATGAAGCCATTCTAGAAGTAGAGCAGCTCAGTTTTGAACAAACTAAAAGTGAAAGTGTTCCAAGATATTTCAACATGTCTCTGGACTGAACTAGTACAAAGCAGTTGTTGCTTAAATTGCGTAATATATAATCTGTAATCTCCCATGGCAGCTTTGTTGAAGATAAAGGGCTGATAATAGGCTCTATTTTATATCTCACTTGACTTGTTTTCAACATTTAATTCATAAGCAATTGTTGTGTACATATCTAAATTGACATGTGTCAGTTGTGTAGGATTGTTTAACATGAAGAAAGCTGCAGTCGTCCATTTTATTTGTCCCTGGTCGTCATTGTGGAGAGGTGGGAATTGTTTTCAAAGCAGGAGGTTCTCACTTCCCTTTTCACCTGTCATTGCTCACTGCAGGGCAAAATTTCACACACCAGAGACATCAGTGCCATAGTTTATCTACTGACTAACCAGATAGTTAAATGAAAAAAGTATATATTTTTGATTGTATTCAATTACGAAAAATACCAAACCCCATTCCCAGAATGGCCACTTGGGGGCTTGCCGTGCCCTACTAACCAATCTTCTTTTTCAGATACCTCTGCTAGCATCAGCACTGCTTTGACGGTGACTTAGCAGCCAGCCAACACTGAAATAGACAGCCAGCATGTTCAGGCACCGAGTCTGATTGTAACGAGCTACTTTGTACAGCGTGACGACCGAACACTGTGGAAGAATACTGTCAATTTTAATTTGGTCACAAAACTGTAATTAATTGTGAAAGAAAGAGTGAAACGGTGAACGTCTTCCTGATGTCTCTTTGTCTGATGCTGCTTGATGTCCTGTAGTACGATAGCGGAGATACGACAAGTTACTCGGCTAACTGTCACCAGACACAGGCCTAGGGTTACCCTTACCAGAACAAAAAGTGAAATAGAATAAATAAATTTTGTCTGTTTGGTTCTTAGTTCCATATCATAGAATATTGGCTAATTGGTTTTCCTCTTGTAAATACAGCAACGACAGGGATTACAGATGCAGTTAACAATACCACAAGTGACATCACCACAACGATGACCAGCCTGGACAACATCACAATAACTACACTAATATTGCCCGACACAACAATGGCTGACACAACAACAACACCAGTTACAACAACAACACCTGACACAACAACCACGCCGGTCCCAACAACCACGCCAGTCGCAACCACGCCAGTCACAACAACCACGCCGGTCACAGCAACCACGGCGGTCGCAACCACGCCAGTCACAACGACCACGCCAGTCACAACGACCACGCCGGTCACAGCAACCACGCCGGTCGCAACCACGCCAGTCATAACGACCACGCCAGTCACAACGACCACGCTGGTCACAACAACCATGCCGGTCGCAACCACGCCAGTCATAACGACCACGCCGGTCACAACAACCACGCCGGTCGCAACCACGCCAGTCACAACGACCACGCCAGTCACAACGACCACGCCGGTCACAGCAACCACGCCGGTCACAGCAACCACGCCGGTCGCAACCACGCCAGTCACAACGACCACGCTGGTCACAACAACCATGCCGGTCGCAACCACGCCAGTCACAACGACCACGCCAGTCACAACGACCACGCCGGTCACAGCAACCACGCCGGTCGCAACCACGCCAGTCACAACGACCACGCTGGTCACAACAACCATGCCGGTCGCAACCACGCCAGTCATAATGACCACGCCGGTCACAACAACCACGCCGGTCGCAACCACGCCAGTCACAACGACCATGCCGGTCGCAACGACCACGCCGGTCACAACGACCACACCTGCCACAACCACCACGCCATCTACATCAAGTCCTACTACAAATACTGCCACCACTCGTCCCTCCACTCTTGAGTGTAAGAATAATGGCAGTCTACAGAATTATGCCTCTACAGAGTTCTGCCTCTGTCCTGATGAATACACTGGAAAGTCTTGTGAAATACGTAAGTCATATTATCTTTTCATTTTTCTGCTTTTAAGTAAACATCAATCTATAATATTATGGCATAACCATAATTACAGTCACTTAAGTGATGTAGTAGTCCTTTTAGTCTGATTTTCTATTTAACAATATCTAGAGAACCAGTTTCATAAAATCACTTGCTCAGTGGTATACAGCTCTGTGCAAAAGTCAGAGACCACCAGTCACTGATTACATTTCCAGTCAAAAATTAAGTTGAAATTATGCAATTTTTACGAATATTTCAGAAAAGACATATGATTTTTCAGGAGATATTTTAAGGAGGTTAGATACAAGAGACTCCACTTTCATAAGGAAGTGAAAAGTTTAGGAGTTTCCAAAACTGGAGTTCAGAAATTGACTAAAAGCTACAGATAAAATGTGACTCTTAACAACCACCTGGAAGACCTGGTAGACACCAAACACTGTCCCCATCAGATAAACAGCACTTAAAGCTTTCATCTGTGAGAGAGAGGAGAAAATCAAGCTGCTTCATATCTGAAAACATCCACAGGTGTTTCTGTCCATCCTTCCACTGTGAGAAGACAACTCAGCGCTATGGGTCTGAAAGGATGTGTAGCTGTTCAAGAAGAACCTCACTGAGAAAAGAAAATAGACAAAAAAGAATGTTTGCACTAATCCCACAATTGGGATTATTTTGATCGTGAGAAGAAGAAAATGTACCAAAGTTCGATGGAACTTAGGAGTAGTGAAAAAGTATCCCTGTTAGATAAAGGCAAAAATAGACACACTAAATACTGAAAAAACATTTGACATTATATTTAGTTCTTTTTCATGTCAGTGAAAAATAGATAATTTGTAATTTTATATATATGCCCCCCCGACAAAAAATCAGTCACTTTGCGTGTTAAGGTGGTAGTAACTTCAGGCTCCTGCACATGGCGTTGCACAAGGGTGATTGGGCTCTAAATACCTGCAGGGTGTGACAGGATTCATAGATTGAGAAAAGGTGGTACAGTGCAGTGAATGTCTTGTTCGATGTGTGGAAAATGGGTCGCAAAGCAGATGTCAAGAATTGTCATTTCGGAATACAGGGATGGGAATGATATGTTCCTTGGTACAATGATTTTCATTGTACCAAGGAACATATCATTCCCATCCCTGTATTCCGAAATGACAATTCTTGCGTTCACAGGGCTGCAAATGTGACTGATTGGCATGATGAACATTTAGGAGCTTTCACACACCTGGACTGGTCACAAGATCCTCAGATTCCAACCCTCTTGAAAATCTGTGGGACTACCTGGAACAATAAGTAGGACACCAGGGAAATCTGGCCGAACTGCGCAATTCTTTGATGCAAGAGTGGCTGAACGTTGATGTTGGCTACATCCAGAAACTTGTCCAGTCCAGGCTTTTTATGTGTATAATGTGGTCTTAATTTTCACTGAATAATATATATATGTATATATATATATATGTATATATTATTCAGTGAAAATTAAGACCACATTATACACATAAAAAGCCTCTACAATTCAGAAATTTATAAAGATACTAGCCTAAAATTTTACATGCTATCTGCTGAATGGAAAAAAAATGCTCCTCCTCAGTACTCAGAATACCCAGTTCTTGAGTGGACTTGATTCTAGTCAGAATTAGCCAAAGATAGGAAGGGAAAATCACTGGAATGTAAGAAACCTCAAAGCTCTTATAGCTACCAGAAGTTAGAGTTTTTTTTCCTATTTTTGTCACATTTAGACATCGAGGGATTTTGTGTGTCATTGTATGCTGGAGAAATAAAATGTTAACACAACCCCCCACAAAAAAAAAAAATATTTCCTGACAAAAGATATTGTTTAGAATATTTTTTTTCTTGGCAGTAGCTCACTGTGACCGTTGTATGCAAATGCCCACGTCAACTTATATGTTTTGTACAAGTGCCAATAAGTTAACACACCTTTTACAGAGACCATACTTTCTGCATCTTTCTGCAAATTTAGTGCACAGTTTATTTACAATCTATTTACTCTATTAAAACTTAAACTGAGTAAAATAAAATAAACCATGACATTTGCACAGGCCACATTTTATGTTCTTTTTCCCCCGAAAATGTTGAATTAAGCAAATAAACAGTAACTGTGCATTAAAATGTGTTCTCTGTAGAGAATGTCTTCACTTATTTTCACCTAGAAAATTAACACAACATACATTGTGCAGTAATTTGACCAGGGAGTTGCATACAACTGTACGCAGTGACAAGTAAACAAACTGACTGAACGAATGAATGAACAGAAAAAAAAGAAATACATAAAAAAACTAAATAGTGTCAGTAGTGAAGATTTTGGATGTTTTCTTTCCGTTGTTTTCTTACAGCAAACTTCTGTCCTGAGAGTACTGTTGAGGGCTTGACGTTTCCAAAAACTGTCTTCGGCCAATTTAGTTACTCAACAGAGCAGTGTGAAGCAGGAACACAAAACGGTAAAGTACTACAACTTATTTACTATTATTATAATGATTCAATAGAAGGATTATTATTTCATAAAATAATTCATTTTATTATGTATATTTTGCTATTTTATAAAAATGACAGTAATGGTAAATCACACCCAAATGCCACAATACATTAACAGAATTTGACCTCATTCTAAAATGTTCATGTTTTGAAACATCTTGTTTTTCTTCTCTCTGTATTTGGATCTCATAGCTAATTTGCCAAAGGCCACCGCTCATTGCACAAATGGCACATTTGATAAGCTTCAGAGGCTGCAGTGCTCCTTAACTCTTGATATGATTAATGTAAATGTAAGTAAGGTTTTCCATAGACATTTTCCATCAGACATAGATTACCACCAGCCTGACAATGCCCCAATAACCAAGCATCATGCCCCACTAAACCCACTACTTCACACACACACACACACACACACATATATATATATATATGGAAATGGGGTTGTGTACATTTAAACACTACATTTACATTTAAAAGTACAAAGACGACATATCAAATGCTGAAACTGAGAAATTTTATAAATTTTTTTAAATATATGCCTATGTTGAATTTGACGGCAGCAACATGTTCCAAAAGTTGGAGCGGGGGCAGCAAAAGGGTAGTAAAGTTGTGTAATGCTAAAAACACCTGGTGGTTGATTGATAACAGGTCAGTAACATGATTGTAACATGAACGACATTTATGAATCGATTCAGAATCGTTAACGTCTGCATCGAGAATAGAGTTTTTCCCCCATCCCTAATATATATATATATATATATATATATGCTTTAAGCTGAGCTATAGCTGCTTTTTTTGCATCTCCGGCCAAAGTAGAAAAGTAGAATGGTTTCTTGTAAAATGTCTGTCAATGTTCGATTTTTTATGAGGCTGAAGTCAGCTTCTCATTGGCCAGCTTCTTGTTCGAATTTTTCCGTTCCACCTTAAATGGTGCCTGAGGCGCCAGAATGTAACTAACGAATGAAAAGCTCACAAACAAGAAGCTGACAAACAAGAAACTGACCTCAGCTACGTGACTTTAAGTAATGCTACGTCTTTAATTACAACTTTTTCTTTTTAGCTTTCAAGTGCCAGTCAGGCAGACAGGCAGCTGTTAGCATCCAACACTCAAATCCTAACATCCATTCCTTCCACTCTAACCGAACAAAACATCAGCGCTGCTGCCCAGATAGCCAGCAGACTGCTGTCCACAACAGGTATCACTGAGGTATGGTACTCCATATAACCCTATACACGTCATAATTCATCATGCTATATTTGTCAGCATTCACAACATCACTAGATGCAAGGAAACTAATTCCACACATACAAACATATCTTGTCCATGCCGTAACACTACCTCCACCATGCTTCACAGAATAGGTGGTATGTTTTGGATCATGAGCAGTGTCTTTCCTGTCTCATGCTCTTCCCTTCCCATTATTCTGGTACAAGTTGATGTTTGTCTTATCAGTCCATCTGTCCATAAGATGTTTCAGAACTGTACAGGCTTTTAGATTATTTTTGGCTAACTCTAATCTGTAATTGTTTTGAGGCTTACCAGTGGTTTTTTACTTGTGGTAAACCCCTGTATTTACGCTGGTAAGGTCTTCTCTTGATGGTTGACTTTGACACAGATACACCAGCCAACCTTCTGGAGGGTGTTTGTGATCTGGCGAACTGTTCTCAAGGGTTTTTTCTTCACTATCATCCATCGTCCTTTTTAGGAATGTTGATTTGGCCACACCTGATGTTTTTGTTATCTCTCTGATTATTTAGATTGAGAATGGCTTAAAAATGGCTTGATTCACTAGCAGTGCATTTCTTTGGATTTCCTGTTGAGAGTTAACAGCAACAGATTCCAAATATAAGTACTACACTTCAACTCTACTTGCAAGTGAATAAATAAGGGAATAACACACACCTGGCTATGGCCATAACCTTTGGGCCACTAAAAATGGGGGGTTATGTATGAAAATGGCTGTAATATCTTGACTGTTCACCCTATTTGGCTGTAAATACTCACTAATTACAGTCTTTACTTTGAGCTCATATTATTTCATTTCAGCTCCAATATGCTATGGTAAAAGGCCATCAAGTATAAATTATTAATTTTTCAGCAGAAAACATATTTAACAGAACTTATTGACAGCTACACATCTTTTCAAATGGCTTTTAAAGTGATACTTTTGCCACTTTTGGCAGACTAAGTTGAACAGGGCTCATGCTAGACCAATGGATAAATCATTGAGCAACCTAGGTGATGGAAATTGGACACTGTGTTCACAAATGGAATCACATGGTTTTCATATTCAGTTTATTATCTTATCTCCTGAAAAATGAATAACTTACTTAAAAGTACTTAATGGTCATTTTGACTGGAAATTAAGAGAGGGGTGGCCTCTGTCTTTTTCCCAGTACTGTACATTTTTTGACAGTAAAATTGTAAGAGTAAAAGTGTAACTGTGCTTTTTTTTTTTCTGTTTAGGACATCGAGTTGGCTGCAGTGACCACGGTCAGCCAGCTTCTTAATGCCAATGATAGCCAGTTCTCCACTACAACTGTTAATTCTACCAACAAGTACGGCTAATGATTTCACCCAAGATGTAGTTATTTTGTACCTGGATGAGATACAGCACAGCCTTGTATTGCAAGAGCCTCGGTCAAATGACATGTTTTGTTGATTTACTACAAAGATAAGTGAAAATAAATTCCTCTACGGGGGAAGAAACTTAACTGTGGTATTTTCCTGCACAATTTCTATTTATTTGCCAAGTTTAACATATTGGAAGAAAATAAAATACAATATATAAACTGTGCCAAATATCTAGCACAGGCCACATTTCATCTTGTTAAATTCAGCAAATAAACAGTAATTCAGCAGAAGTCTGTTTGCTGTAAAGGAGGTGTTAACTCATTTTTACAAATTAACATCGCATGTCATTGACATGAGCAGGGGTGCAAAGACTTATGCACATGACTGTATATGGTTTGCATGCTTGTTTGTTGTCTCCACAGCCTCACCAGAACTCTGCAGAGTTTCTCATTGAGCTCAGGAAATGCAGGATCACAGCTGGTGCAGCCAAACCTGGCAGTACAATCACTACAGTTCAATCCCACTGGAACATCAGTGGTCCAGTTCACCGCTGTTAAAGGTCAGTGTGGCTGGAGAACACTTTCAGGCTTTCACAAGTCTGCCAGTATCTCTACCTTTTTCAACAGTGGTGTAGTTGCTAAAAACAGCCCAAAAATAAGAAAAGATATAATATGCCTTTAAGGTAATTCTAATTGTAGGTTAGTGGTAAACATGGACGGCTGGCGCTTGTTAAATTCAGTAATGTATCTAGAACCCCCAGAAGGCCTAAAATTATGTTTCTCCTCAAAAGTAATTGGCTGGTTCCTAATACACCTTTTTCACACTTTTTACGTATATGAGACTAGAAAAGTCCACAAAGATGTAGTTCGTACTCTGGAAAGGTTTTCATATTCATAAATGAGCTTGATAAGATGGTGGAAGACAGATTAAGATGATCGCAGCAGAGGCTTGAGTTCAACTCATAGTCGGTAACCACAAGCAGAAGGTCACATGCTGCAGAGAGGGGTTTGGGCAGGGTTGGCTGTAGGCTCAGCCATGTCAGGAGGAGGCATGACAGGTAGAGCCATGTTCGAAGCCGTTGTAAATTCCATGATGTACGCACACCTATGACCGCCTCACAACAACTGAATTGTGTATTACTACGCCACCACACAAAAACCCTTGTGCCGTTAGCGTAATAATCCTTGGATCCCATGCTGCTCGCATGGACCACTGAGTATATTGATGAAGTAAGAACCCATTTTCTCTTTAAACTGAGGGGCTGGCAATTATGTTCTTAACTAGAATTAGGCTGGTCAGCTAGCTAACAGGCTAATAGATGGCCAACAGCCTAAACAAATCTATCCTTAAAGAACTTACGGTATGAATAACTGTAAAACAGCAGTGAAAAAGTCTAAAGAATGTCACTTGAATGACTTGATGTCTGCGTTTCAAATGTCTGCGTTTCAGTCAGAAGTCACGTCAAACCCAGGCTAAATCCCAAACGTATTCATATTCCCTAAATAGTGTGCTAGCTATGAAAGTTCAGAAATTCTAGCCTCTACAGCCAAATAGTGCATCATTTATCGAGTGTGGATGTGGCTGAGTCCCAAATTACTATTTCTTTTATTTTACTGTATTTTGCACTGTTGGGCTGCAGGATCCAGTATTTAAATTCCTCCGTAGTGCACTATGTAGGGAGCAGGGAGCCATTTAAGATTCAGCCTCAGCAATGAGAAGAGGGGCACCACTGGTTTGGTGCTAAATAAGACTTGTGGTGGTAATTTGTTGACCAAAAAGTACTTTTAAAGCAAACGATTTTGCATTAAACAGTGATGTGTCATCATATGTTTATTGTTACATGACAAAAAGTTTAAAAAATTAATGAAATGACCACAATATACAGTGATGGGCGACCAAACATTCTCCTTATTTAGCGGTCCATGGTTGCTTGGCAACAAAACCATACTCTAAAGGAACTACATTTCTTTGTGGAATACTTGTTTATGTCAATTATTCTTAATAATAACTAACATTATTTTCTGAAAAATTGTGTATTTTATCACATTTTATGCTGGCCGCTGTCTTATAAAAGCAATAAGCCATTTAAGGTTGTGTTACTGCTATCTTATCACAGGGAAGAGATCATCAACCTTCCCGTAATCAAATCGGAGTAACACATAGCCTCTCATGGTTTATTGCTTCATTATACAGTGTCCAAAGTTGAAAAAGTAAATGGCCAGCTCAGAGTTCCTATGCAAGCTAACTGACATGATAATGTTAAATTACTTCAGTTTTCACTAATGCTAACAGTTACTGTACAAAAGCATCAAAATAATCGTGCCAGTCAACAGAATCGCCACATAGAACTGTGCAGAAAGTCCACATCATTCGCAGGCTGTTCCTAACATTAGCTAACTATGGTCTAAGGGCTAACATTAAACTAACTACTAACTTTGTTGAGTGAGAATGGAATAAACCTTCTCATCTTGAATAACAATAGATGGAACCAAGTGAAAAGGTTCTAGATACATCACTGACTGTGAATACAAGACACAGTAAAACCAGATTTCGAATAGTTGTTAGGAATGTAAAACAGCGGCGGCAGCTCTACGTACAAGCTCAAATATATGTCTGTGTCACAAACTTCGTGTGAAAAAAGGGAATGTCTTTTGTTTAAACCACAATGTTCATGTGCACCAGGGATAGCTTGGCGCTAACATACCATTGGATGTCTCAGAGGGGGCTAGTAGAGCTTAAGAACTGAAGGCCTAGCTCTGAAGGTTTGCCACTAGTGCTATTGCAATTACAGCATGCGAGTGCAGTGTCCAATTTGAAGTTCATTCTCAGCTTTGTAGTCCATGCATTGCATTGACCCTCTCTTAAATGCAGTCAGCAATCATGGCTTTCATCCAACCTGACTCATTTGTTATGTCACTCTACTGCATGTCCTGTAGGTTTGTCGGACACCTTTTTACCCAACAGAATCAATGTTAGTCAAACCAGTCCTGGTCCTCAGAACGTATTTCCCATTGATGTCCAGATGTCCATCACAATTGGAGGTACTATAGGTGTGTACATTACATGTTCTGTACTCTTCTGTCAACAGACTATAAATGTTGAGGCTTAAAAGATTCTCTGGAAAAAGTAAGTAGTGATTATGTACAGTTTATATATATTATTCTTTATTAACATTGAGCACATAACACATAATCAGATTTCTCCAGTTATGTGATTATTTAAACGGTCATGTAAACAGCATACTCAGATTTCTGACTATTCTGAGATTTTTGTCTAGAAATCTGATAAAAAAACACAGTAAAGAGAGCTGGATTTTACCTCAGTAAACAGATTTCTCAGCCAACGTGTACTCTCACTCTGATTTCTTTCGGATTTCTCAGTCTGCACATGTGTGAAAACAGATGGTGGTACCAGAAATAAGCAAGTATAGTGTTCAACACAGCACCCATGAAATGGCAACAAAACGCTTTTGGAGCGGCACTGAAACCAACTACATGCTTGAGAAAATTAATGATTTAAATTTTCTTCATCTTATAGATGATGTATGTTCATATTTTCAGGTAAAGTGGCGTGACGTTTAAAAAAAAAAAGCTGCAGCATAACATTTGAGCTTTACATTACGTTTACGTCATGGTTTCCTCTGTGACTTATTGGCTGGTGGCAAAGCAGAAATCCAATTACTCCATGACTCATGTAGACCCAGAGTTTTCCCCATTATCTGATTACTCAAGTGCATGTATATATGTTAGTCAGATTAATGATCTAAATCTGCTTTTTGGAGTTACCAGATTGTTACGGATGTAAATGCACTCACACAAAAAAAGAGAAACATATTGAAAACTTGATTTAACCACATACTTGTCCAAACTGCAGTTTGTTGCAATCTGAGGTTAGTTTTTTAATCCAATTGTATTAGATTTGTTTTTTTTTTTGGCCAATATCCAATCTGATGTCATTTCCTGGATATTGGATATCAGATCAGTGCCATCTCCCAGAGGTAGCATATAATTTAGGCTTGGCACCATAACAATATTTTAAGTGGGGCATCTGAAAACCACATCGGAGCCAGGGGGTTAGGTAGATCTACAGCAGGTCTATCCAAAGGAGACACTCATTCAACAGAGATACATTTACAGCATCATTAAAATACAGTCAATACAGAGTGTTTCATACAAGCCCTCCTATGTTAATCAGTGTTGCCTTTTTGTACCGGGTGGATTTATTCACCGCTTGCAATGACAGAAGCATGTTCAAAATAGTGGGTTTATTGGGAAATTGCTCCACAAAGGTATGTCCACACATATCTGGATTTTTTTTAAAAAATCTTTTTCCACACCAACAGTGTTTTCGAAAATCTATCCAGTAACACAAGAATGTTAAACCAAACGCTCACATAAGCATGTCCGCCCAATAGAGGGCAATAATACCTCAAGGCCTCAAGAACACTGTGAATGCAAGGCAATTTTTATACAGCACTTTTCATACACAATGATCATTCAAAGTGCTTTACCAATGAGAAAATTCAAATATAATTCAGATTAAATAAAAAATGCATGTTACAAACACAGTAGGCTTTGACATAATGTTTCACACAGATTCAAATTCTGAATCCTGCCAGAAAATAAAAGCTTAAAAAAAAGAAGGAAAGCTTACCATGTCATACAGTGAGAGATAAGTTGACACTGACAATTAACCAAAGATATAGAAATGAAAATGTCATTCTAAAAAATGTTTTCTCTGAAAAAGTTCTCAATGGGAGTCCTTTAAGAAACATGCACTTGTGCACTAGGGCTAGTTGGGCACACTTTGCCTCTAAAGCTAAGTGGCTTCTTAAAGAAAACAAGAACATTTTCTGATTTATATGGTTTACAGTCTTTCATTTTGAAACCATCAGAATTTGAATGTTTTTACTAGTGCTAATAACTGTGTGCACTGAGTGCTCCTGTTATTTCTAGTGCTGCTTTTTCATTTTTTTTCTTTCTCTGTCTCTTAATAGACTCTCAGAATAAGCCTGCTGGTGTTGGATTTGTGCTCTACAATAATGATCAGTTCTTCGGGTCTAAAGCTTTTCAAGATTCTCTGGGCACCAAGAGAAGAGTGATCTCAGGAAATGTGGGGGGAAATTTCCCCGTCTCTATTCAGTTCAACATAAATAACACTATTCAGTTCAACAACAGTAATCAGGAAGAGGTATGTGGATAAATTGCTCTTGTGTTTAGACGTCTTTAACACTTTATAAAGTAGGAAAGTTGTCACATCACCAAATTGTGAATGTTTGGCTTTCATTAACTGGTAACATGTGGTATCACATGAAAAATACAGTCACTGACCACTTTATTAGGTACTAGAGTATTATGCAAAAGTCTGAGACCACTTTTTTACAATTGAACTTCTAGTGAAAATGGCCATCAAACACAAGTTTTCAGAAGATATTTGTGAGGAGATTAGGTATAGTCCTCTAAAAAATGACTGAAAGCTACAGAGAAAAAAAGGACTTAAAAAAACAACAACTCCCCATCGGATAAACAGCACTTAAAATGTTGATCTTTGAGAGAGAGGAGAAAATCAAGTTCCACTCTTACTTCAGATCTGAAAAAATCTACAGTCGTCCTTCCACTGTGAGAAGACAACTATGGGTCTGAAAGGACTGATAGCTGTCAAGAAGCCTCACTGAGAAAAAAACAGACAAATTAATCATTGACCACCTGTGTTGTGCTGGTGTGAATGGATCAGACACATCAGTGCTGCTGGAGTTTTTAAACACCCAAAAAATACCTGCTCTGTGGTGGTTCTGTGGGGGTCCTGAGCACTGAAGAACAGGGTAAAAAGGGGCTAACAAAGTATGCAAAGAAACAGATGGACTACAGTCTGTAACTGTTACTTTTCACATTTTAGGTCAATACTTACTAAATGAATTTTTTTAGAAAAATATACAATCTTCAAAAGAAACACTGTCATTTTTTAACTGTGTTAGAATCATGGCACGGTATATAGCAAACATGCTTATGAGATTAATTCTTCTAATTCTATACAAAATAACAATTCTTGACCAACGAAGGTTCCTGCTAGAGCCTGAGTAGACTGATAAATCAATGTGATGATCAGTTATTAATCTCAGCGTTACTGAGCTCTGCTAAAGCCTGAGTAGACTGATAAATCAATGTGATGATCAGTTATTAATCTCAGTGTTACTGAGCTCTGCTAAAGCCTGAGTAGACTGATAAATCAATGTGATGATCAGTTATTAATCTCAGCGTTACTGAGCTCTGCTAAAGCCTGAGTAGACTGATAAATCAATGTGATCAGTAATTAATGTCAGCGTTACTGAGCTCTGCTAAAGCCTGAGTAGACTGATAAATCAATGTGATCAGTTATTAATCTCAGTGTTACTGAGCTCTGCTAAAGCCTGAGTAGACTGATAAATCATGTGATGAGATCAGATGTATTAGTGTTAGGTCAGGGAGAGGCAGCATGTTAGGAAATCACTGCTGTAGTGTATGAGATGCCCACTACATTCACATAAATGTTGAGAATAACAAGCTAGGGGGAAAAGTCTGTTTTAAACACAGCTTATGCTAACACGGAGATGCTAATCTGGGCAGTGTTGGTGGCTGTTTTCAGAATCCGTCCTCCATGAGCATCCAGGACTTTGCGTGCGTGTTTTGGGACTACAACCGGACAGATTGGAGTACAGAAGGCTGTGTCAAAGTCACAACGTCCTTCATGCCTCAGACTCCTCTTCTGCTTCCCTGACCTGCAATTGTACACACACCACTAACTTTGCTGTGCTAATGGTGAGCCTGGGTTGTTAACACTTGTGGGGGGTGCGGAAGGCATTATTTCAGAGGGTCATTTTCACAAAACATTGGTTATTATAACATCCATGTCCATTCCATTCTGCTATGAAATAATGAATATTATGTACAGAAGTTAATCAGGTCAATATTGTGTTTCGTTGCAGAGTTTTAGCCCAAACTACAAATATTCTGAAGCTTTAGACTGGATAAGTATAATCGGCTGTGCTCTGTCTGTTGCGGGCTTGGTCATCACAGTACTGTTCCAGATCCTGACGAGGTAAGAAGCTAATACGGTTCGGTTTGTAGTGAGCATTCATGATTCTGGCTTGTTTGAGATTTTAAATGAAACAATGACAAATCTGATAAGCATCAGCAGCACTGCTGTGTCTGATCCACTCATACCAGCACAACACACACTAACACACCACCACCACGTCAGTGTTACTGCAGTGCTGAGAATGATCCACCACCCAAATAGTACCTGCTCTGTGAGGGTCCATGGGGGTCCTGACCACTGAAGAACAGGGTAAAAGGGGTATGTAGTATGCAGAGAAACAGATGGACCACAGTCTGTAACTGTAGAACTACAAAGTGCACCTATATAGTAAGTGGAGCTGATAAAATGGACAATGAGCGTAGAAACAAGGAGGTGGTCATAATGTTATGCCTGACTGGTGTACGTCATAAAATATTGGTTTGAAATATCAGCCAAATCTGTCCAATGCAGATCAGAATCCGAATCAAGTTTTATTGGCCAGGTATGCTTACACATACAAGGAATTTGGTTTTGTTTACAGGAGCTCACAGTGCACAGTATCAGACAAACATTTACATGTAGTGAATGAAATAAAATATTATAAAACATAAAGTCATAAAATCATACAGTCATACCTGTAAACATTAGATCAATTAAATAGATCAAAAGCAACATTCAAGATACATTTTTTATGCAATTATTTATCTGCAATGTTTATAATGTTATTTACAGGCCTTGCATCTGTCCCCAAAGCCTACTAGTACTAATACTGCCACTGCAAATAATAGCAGTTGAGGAAATAATGTAAAGTTGAAGCAGAATCCATGTCAGTCTATCTGGGTGTTTGTGTTCATTATAAACTAGCACAGTATATTCCTGTTGCTCCTGAAGCATGGCAGCTTCTGAACACCAGGTGGCACCAAAATGTCTCTAAAATTACTTCGTAGAAACTTAAAGAAGAAGCCAATTTTTCATGACTGTGTGTATTTCAGAGACCCTTTCTGCTCAGTTTAGCTCAGGCTAAATTTTGTTATCAAATTGTTTTAGGGTGCTAAAGTTTCAAAGTACTTATCATAATAATTGTTGACATTTTACTCAAAAATAAAAGTGCATATTGCAATATGTCTAAGTTACATACAGTGGTTTAATAGACAAAAGTTCTGAAGTATTATAATAGACTGCAATGTTTATAATGTTTATAGTTCATAAATTATAAATTATTTATTGTTATTTCTCATCAAATTATCTGCCTCAATATTTAATTACCACCTGTCACATCTGAGGTATTCTAGATATTCAGTTTTATTATAGCTTCTGGATTCTCAATGTTATACTGTAATAATAATAATTATTGTATTTTTATAATGTTATATTTTTCTAATATAAAAAAAAAATCACTGACCATTTGTGTTGTTTTTCTTTTGTATTATTTGAGAACAATGGCCTAAAAATGACTTAGAATAAAATCTTGTTATATTAACTTGCATTTACATTTAAAATAGTTTTTCCTTCTCCCGTAAAGTAACTTTATTTGTAGATATGTGGTTTTTGTTCAGACAGAGCTGATATACTTATGTTATAATCCTATTTATTATGGAATAACATCTAAAATTTCTTAATTTCTGACCAGCTAATTTTTTTTTTAAAACCTATTAAGTTGTGGAGCATCATATTATGATCATTTTATACATTTATCTGCATTTTAAAGCAGCAGTTTTCTTCTATATGTGCTGCACCTGTAGTGTGGAGTCGAGTAGCATGTATATTAATTTCCTTGAATTATTTAGATATGAACAGGGAAGCTGTTGACTCTAAACACCTGCTCATTGGCCTTTGTTATGAATGTGTTTTGTAAATGCATCAAAATTGCTGTTAGTGCACATGTGGCATATAAAGATTAGGTTGAAGTTCACTGGAGCACTTTTTTTAGCCTACACAAACATAATGGTTCGGTAATGTAATTGTAAATACTCAGACCTGCCTTTGGCTAAAAAGTAGCCAATAGTCACCCAAATCTTTTCTGTAAATACAGCTCCAAAACTTCTCTCGACCCGCTCAAGCTGCGTCCAGCTCTTCGTTAAGGTCATGCAGACTTGTCAATGTGGTTTAGAGCACAGTATGACTTAGTGTTAAATATAAAAATGAACAAAATTTCACTGTGATCACCATGAAAAGCAACTATAGACAATGTGTTGTGCTGAATTTTGTGCTCGCATGTCATGCAAGCATATGGATACTAGATTACATTTGTTACTTCTGTTATTTCTGTTGATAAACATATCTTTAGCTAAATACAACGTTAACATTTATTCATGTTCATTCATGGAGGAAACAACAGACATTGCGAACGTTATCTGTAGCATCCATGTGTCAGAATTTGGCACCCAGCATTCAGCTACACGGTGAAGTTTTGTTCAGGTTTATAGCTTGGTGAATCTGCACCACCGTAACAAAGACCTGGATGTGGTTTGTGGTCTCTCAGTAAGCTGAGAGACGTTTGGTGGATCTCTTTACACAACTGATTTGGGTGACTATTGACTTCCAGTGTTTGTTAGCAATGTTGGCCTTGTAGCTCCAGTGCAAAAATAAAGAGGCAAAATTTGGATCATTCCTTTAACACCCTTCTGTCTGCAGAAAGTCCAGAGGAATGGGCCCCACTCTTCTGATGGTCAGCATCTGCGTGAGCATGACCATCTTCTACCTCCTCTTCATCTTCGGCATTAACAACCCGGTCCAACATAAGGCTGCATCTGCCCCGTCACAGATCAACTCCGTCCCACAGTCTGATTTCCACCGGGAACCGGACCAGGGACCGTGCACCACCATGGCTGCCCTGCTGCAGTATTTTCTTCTGGCCACGTTCACCTGGAGCACCCTGTACGCTGCCCACATCTTCTTCGTGATCAAAAACGCCATCTCGGGTCCACCACGAAACTTCAACACCATCTCCATCGTAGCCGGCTGGGGTAAGAGGCCACAGCCTGTCAGAAATACTGCCTTCTTATGTAGGATTTACAGTAGCAGTCAAAGGAAACAACGGATTGACCTTCAAGGTCTGATTTAGGGAAAGTTCAGATGACTCTTATGCACTGGGCTTCGAGTGAGAGGTGGGGCTTGATTTGGTCCAGGATCAATTTGTTTTATTTGCCGTCCAAGTACTGTCAAAAGTCTTCTCCATCTTGCCTTGTTTATTGTCCAGTTTTCACCTCCATAAAGAACCACGGAGAAGACCACAGTCTGGACAATTCTGTTCTTTGTAGAGACAAATTGTTGCATTTGGAGATTGTTTGAAATGCCTTCCTCCTTGTTCTCCTGAGTGCCAATCTGTGTCATATTTTTTGAGTGGTGGATCCTTTATTGTTAATAAATGATCCAAAGAGGCAAAAGCTGTTCACCATCTCCACATTTTCTCCATCAGTGGTAAAGTTAGCTGCCTTTCCTGTCATCACAACCTTAGTCTTCTTCATATTGACCTGAAGTCCCATATTTCCACTTTAATTAGAACCTTCTGGTCTTCCAGATTTTCCTCTGTGAGTGGTGTATCATTTGCATATTGAAGTTAATTGATGTGTCGTTCACTAATCCGGAATCCTCAATCATCTTCCTCCAGTTCTGCTTCTCTTATTATAAGTTCTGCATACAGGCTGAAGATATATGGTGATAGTGGCCATGTCTAACTCCTCTGCCAATGTGTCACGTTACACTGACTTTAAAAGTCAGAAGCCTTGGCTCAGGTTTTTTGGACCATGTCATATATCCTTATGTATTTAACGTCATGCTCAAAGAGAGTTTGACCAAGTTTTGACTGAGCTCTCTTTGAATTCTCTTTCAACGCGGTCGCGATTATCAGATTCATCCACTCGGGTAAGGGGTCCGAAGGACATGGACATGCTGCATGCAGTTACACATTTCCACCAGAGAGGTCTCCAAATCCCCAACAATTGACACTGTTAAAACTCTCCTCTGATAATGCTCCTGTCCTCCTTTTCACTGGTCACCATTGTCTTGCATGCTGCCACTGGGTACCACTATGATTTTTCTGTTAGCTCTTGTTGTGTTCAGAGAAATCTAGCAAGACTTTCAGTCTATCATGTCTCTTTGGCCAGTTTCTTTGTGTCTTTAGAGCAAAGCTATAAAACACCCCAGATTGAATTTTTACTTGGGTGGTTTACTCATTACAAAACTGTATATGTAGATTGTTAATTTAAAATTTGGACTTTTAAGCTTAAAGTGTTTGTCTTATACCGTTTTTCTCCCTCACCTTCAGGTTTCCCTGCTGTGATAGTTGGCATCTCATTAGGAGCCACATACCGACCAGATAAACCCTTAAACTACCGACAGGAGGAGTTGTAAGTAAATTTTTTCTCAATTTCTCTGCTGTGCTAGGATCTAGCAGCCAAAATTGTCTGTTGAAAGTGATGTTTCGATGGCAAGTTAACACAGTTTTCCCCCTTATCCCAAATGTAGTCAGTCAGCCAAAGGCATGGTGTTCTAAGTTTGCATCTTTAGCTTTGCACTGGAGCTATGAGGCCAACCAAATTAACCACCGGTGGTTATAAGTTTCCATTAACAAGTACTGGAATCTTATAGCCACCAGTTTAGCATTATGCAAACCACATTAACACAGCTGTGTCTGATACACTCGTACCAGCAACACATACAACCATGTAAGTGTCACTGCTGTGCTGAGAATGGACCACCACCCAAATAACATCTGGACAAGAGCAGCCCTGTGGTCAGAAACTGACCAGTGATGAATGGTGTAGACAGAGGCTGATACACTGTGCTATAAAGTGTAATTGTACACCTAAATAATACAGCTATAAAATGGGTATTTCTAATAAAATGGAAACACAAGGTAGGTGTTTCTAATAAAGAGGCCAGTGAGTGGAAACACAAGGTAGGTGTTTCTAATAAAGTGGCCAGTGAGTGGAAACACAAGGTAGGTGTTTCTAATAAAGAGGCAAGTGAGTGAATGCACAAAGTAGGTGTTTCTAATAAAGTGGTCAGTGAGTAGACATATAAGGTATGTGTTTCTAATAAGTGGCCAGTGGGTGGAAACACAAGGTAGTTGTTTCTGATACACTGGTCAGTTAGTGGAAGCATGAGGTAGGTGTTTCTAATAAAGTGGCCAGTGGGTGGAAGCACACGGTAGGGATTTCTAATAAAGTGGCCAGTGATAGTGTATATGAACATGCACAAAAAAAACACTGTATACATTTTACGCTAATTTGCTGTATATATTACTGTATGCAATATTGAGTCAACAATTATATTACAAAACTTACCATATATTACTTTATTTGATAATAGATCACTATTAACCATCTGATGTAGTATTATTGGGATATCTGACTTTGTTTATGTGTCTGTGTGTTGCAGTTGTTGGCTGGCTGCATTGACTGCCAACAAGGAGTTTGATGTACGGAAGCCCATGTTCTGGGGTTTTCTTCTCCCACTTGCTCTAATGATCTTTTTCAACATTGCTGTACTCTTTTACTTTGCACTCACCACCTGCAGGACTAACCAATCACTCAACAGGTGTGTATTGCTGTAATTCACAGTACTTTCTCATAATACCTTATGTTGTCAAAAGTATGTGGACATCTGGCCATCACACCTATATAAGCTTGTTGGACATCCCTTTCCAAAACCATTGGCGTTAATATGAAGTTGGCCGACCTTTGCAGCTATTACAGCCTCCACTATCCTGGGAAGCTTTTACAAGACTTTGGAGTGTGTCTGTGGGAATTTGTGCCCATTCAGTTAAAAGAGCATTTGTGAGCACAGTGGCACAGTCATGCTGGAACAGAAAAGGGTCTTCCCCAGACTCCTTTTCTTTAGTCCATCGCACTCGTATTCGGGTTCGCTGAACTCGTCCGGCAAAACCCGTGGGTCTCGGTCCGCTTCCAACCGAACCCTGTTCAGTGCACTACTGGTGGGAATGCATTTTATGATGACACGATGGAATTTCATCCTATTCTATCAGCACGTCAGTGCTGTACTGTCAGTATTATCTGCATGTTTGGTTTTTTTAAAAAGTTGATTTTAATTTTCTGTGGGCCGCTATGCTTTATAGTTATAAACAAGTGGGCTTTGGGGTGGAAAAGGTTGTGAACCCCTGCTTTACACCACTCTGGCCGAGGCTTGGCATTGCACATAGTGATCTTAGGCTTGTGTGCAGCTGCTTAGCCATGGAAACCCATTTGAGCTACCAATGCAAAGTTCTTGTGCTGATGTTGCTTCCAGAGGCTGTTTGGAACTCTATATGGGTGATTTTTATGTGGCTGAAACACCTGATCTCAGTAATTGGCCATTTCGTATGCATAGTAGTAGTTATTAGATAATACAATTAATTACAGTAGTTACTGGGGTCTTAAACACAGGCTTAGGTCTTAGTTTCATCCCACTCATCAGCCTGGTACCACATACAGCACTTTGTTCTTTTATTTTCTGCAGCTCGCAAGTGACCCCTTTACGGAAGAAGATGCTGAGCAGTGTGTCCTTGGCTGTGGTGCTGGGGATTTCCTGGATCATCGGCTACTTCATGCTCCTCTCTGTTGACCCAATCCAACATAATATTCTCACCTATGCCTTCTGTCTGTGCAACACCACACAGGTGTGATTAAGAATCTGTTGCTGTTTATTGTTAAAATGTCTTCTCTAGCCATGATAGAATTTAAAGGGGAGTCCTGGACATGGAAATACTTTTGGACTTTTTTAAGCAATATAAAATTGTGCACAGGCCACATTTTAGGTTTTTCTCCAATATATTAAATTCAGCATATAAACAGTGATTGTGAATTAAATGAGCAAATATTTGTTGTTTGTAGAGGATGTGTTAACTTATTTTCACTGCAACAAAGCATGGAATGAGTGCACAAACTTTTGCATACAACCGTATAAATGATATGATACTGAAATGTGCATTATTTTTCTGGTAAATAATTTAATAAATATCTGACACATATGACAATTTTTCACAATACCTTTTTATGTGAGTGCATTTCAGTGCATCAAAATTAAGTTAATTTTAGCACTTACACTATATGGACAAAAGTATTGGGACACCTACACATTACACCCACAGGAGCTTTTATGATTCATTCTAAATCCATAGGCATTAATATGGAGTTGGTCCCCCTTTTGCAGCTATAACAGCTTCCGCTCTTCTGGGAAGCTTTCTACAGGATTGTGGAGAGTGTCTGTGGGAATTTTTGCTCATTCATCCAGAAGAGCATTTGTGAGGTCAGACGCTGATGTTGGACCAGAAGGTCTAGCTCGCAATCTCTGTTCTAGTTCATCCCAAAGGTGTTGGATGGGGTTGAGGTCAGGGCTCTGTGAAGGCCAGTCAAGTTCCTCCACACCAAACTCACCCAGCCATGACTTTATGGAACTTGCTTTGTGTACTGGGGGCACATTAATGCTGGAACAGAGAAGGTTCTTCCCCAAACTGTTCCCACAAAGCTGGAACCATAAAATTGTCCAAAATGTCTTGTTCTGCTGAAGCATTAAGATTTTCCTTCACTGGAACTAAGGGGTCTACCTTAACCTATGTCATGAAGCTCCTGGTGCACAGTTTTATGCTGATGTTAATGCCAGAGGAGGTTTGGAACGCTGCAGTCCCCGCTCTGTAACTTTACATGGTCTAACACTTCGTTGCTGTGGTTCTTAAACAGTTCCACTTTTCAATAGTACCACTCACAGTTGATCATGGAAAATCTAGGAGGGAAGAAATTTCATAAACTGACTTGTTGCAGCGATGGCATCTCATTACAGTATCGCTCTCGAATTCATTGAGCTCTTTAGAACGAGATATTGTTTCACTAATGTTTGTAGAGGCAAACTGCATGGCTAGGTGCTTGATTTTATACACCTGTGTCAATGGGACTGAATGAAACACCTGATTTCACTGATTAAGAGGTGTGTCCCAATACGTTTGTCCCTGTAGTGTATGTCTCCCAAAGTCTAAAACTGTCATGGGGTGCGACCGGCGATCCATATATGCAGATTAACTATTAAAAACTGTAGGCATAAAAAAAATAAAATAATTTGAGACCTTTAAAATCATAACATGTTGCAAAATAGGGCAGCTTTGAAAGTATCTCATTATCTCTCAAAGGTCATACAGCACAAACGACAACAAAGAACATGCTTTTAAGAAAGAATGAGTAGGTCATTGCATCATAAAGAAACCCCCAGGCGACCTTCATGGTGTGTTAATAAACAAAAGTACTAATGCAGTACAGATTTATATTATGTTTAACTAGAATGAAATAGCAATAATATACATTTTAGAACCTAAGAAGAGCTTTGAATTAAGATAAATCTTAATATAAATTTTCAATGTTGTGTATTATTTGATATTAAGTTTAGAGTGTTTTTTCTAATTGAGTATTTAACCCATAAAATCTGTGTTTTCTTTCCAAAGGGTGTTCAGATCTTTGTTTTATTCACCTTAAGAACAAAAATCTTTAAGGAGAAGTTTTCCATCTTCAGGAAGTCCATTCCGTCCCCTGAGGTGTCCGTTCACAGGATGAGCTACCACCTATGGCCAGTGAAGGAGAAAGATCTCCCAGAAAGCTACAAGTCTACAGACTTTGATCAGCAAGTACCAAACCACACGTACGACTAAACAGAAAACCCAATGTAAAATGTTTGTTTAGCTACTCGAAAAACAAATGTGACATGAACTTCACAGGGTTTGCAGTCAAATGACATGTTTTTGCTGAGCTTAACATATAAACAAAGTATACGATGTGCTGCAACTTTTGCACAGGCCACATTTTAGGTTTTATTTTTTCCGCAAATGGTCAGGTAATGTTCAGAAAATCAAAAGCATGCAATTTGACCAGGGGTGCTTTTACTTTTTACAGCACTGTATGCTGAAACGTCTGTGCAACCAACTGTAATTTTGCAGCATAAGTTCAATTACTAGCAGTATTCATAATTTTGGCACATTTCTATGTACTTAGTGAAAGAACAGAAAAACCTGTTGACAGAATAATAGAATAATAGAGATGAGGGACAGAAAATACCTGAATGATTGAAAAAAGAAACATAGTGAGTGCAGATGCTTTCGGATAGTGCCTAGGAGGCCCGGTTGACCATTGATGGCAAGATGGCAAAAGGAAAAGATTGAAGTGACTTTCGAAGTGACTTTTCAGAGGGTTCATTTTGGGGCATGCGTGGCGAGAGCTTCAGTCACAAAGACTGCTCAGCTGGCCCCCAGTGTTTCAGTAGGAACAGTCAACAATGTGACATTGTTCCATTAACATTGAAAGGAAAGAATGTTCTCCTGGTTTTCTCCAAGCATGGACTGGATGGAATATGAATATGCTCACATCATGGACAGATTAACAGACAATCTCCTTAAGAACTCTCAGATACAGAAAGGAAGGAATTCATGGCTCCTTCAATAGTAGCCAGCTGTCCAAATACCTTCCCACTACCACCACCATGTTTCAATGCTGGTATGACGTGCCTACTGTGAAATAGATAACTTGCGTTATGGCAAATATAAAGGAACCTTGGTGTCTAAGAATTTAGAAGTTGTCCCAGGTGCTTTTTGGCAAATGTGAGACAAGCAATAACGCTGGTTGGTGGCTGCTATTCCCTTTTTTTTTTTACTGTGGAGTCATGAATATCTGAGCTAAAGCTAGAGAGACCAGTAGTTCCTGTGATGTTGTGGAGGATTACACACACTTTGGTGACTTCCTTGATGATTTGTTTTTGTGCCCTTGGTGAAATTTTGGCAGGCTGGGAACACCTTGGTAGATTCAGCAACATTCCAAGGGTTCTCAATTTGTGGTTCAGTGATATCCCAGAGAGCTAGAAATGATTTTGTAACCCTTTCCAGACTGATACTTTTCTACAGCATGTTTTTCCTTTTCTTTCGATCTTAGCCAAGTGCCTTTACTGCTTGTAAAAAATCTGAAAGTAAACCTCAATATGAAAGAGGTTTGCTGCATTCAAGCAAGGCTGTGTTCAAACAACTGAATCTCATTATCAATTAAATTTGGTTAGCACCATAATGATTAGCACAATAATAATGCAAGCCAGGATCATTCTGGTCGCTGATATCATGATAAGAAATTTTCATATCGTCCCATCCCTAAAGCAGACCCCTCTGATCTGCCTACCACTGCTGAATATCCTTTGTGATGGTCAGCCCAGTTCAGGACTCTCTGCCAAAGTGGACTTTCAACGTATTGCAGCTGGTGGCTCAGGAATAGACAGAAATGGAACAAAAATATGAACTGGCCAGCAGAAGAACTACACCCCACTGCTCGGGACAGTGTTGCTGGTCTACCAGGTCTTGCGGGTGGTTGTTAGGGGTCACATTTTCTCATTCTATCTTTTGTCATTTTTTGAACTCCTGTTTTTTTTGTTTGTTTTTTTCTTTGTCTTTTCACTTATTTTACAAGTGGATTATCTTATATCCAAGCTGTAACACTTTATTTTAAGGAACACATGTTGGTGGCTTATTACGGTCTAATTATTTTTTCAATAAAGCTTGAATTAGACTCTTCTAAATGATTTTTTCACTATGTATTAAACTTTATTCATTATGACCTGTGTTAATACATAATTAGAAATCTGTAACATGAAAATCATGAATAATTGTCTTATTAGTCATTATAACTCACAATAAGCACTTTCCTAATACCCTGTTATGCTGAATGACTGAGCATGAATTATCACCCAAAATCACATCTTGTATACAGTGTACAATTGGCAGCATGTGATTTCTACAGGTTCTAGATAGCATCGATGTGTTGTTGCATTATTGGAGTTTATTGTTATTTAGAGCTAATAAGAGTTTAGTAAGTCGCTAATACTTCAGGATTTGTTCCATATTCTAAAGTGGAGTTATGGTCATCACTAATCAGAGGCTAAAAAGAGCTAAATAGATTTTCAGTAAGTTGATTTGTGTGCTATATTCTAAAGTGGAGTTGTGGTCATCACTAATTAGAGGCTTAAAAGGTGATAAACAGGGCTTCAATAAGTCAATTTGAGTACTATATTCTAAAGTGAAGATAATTTCATGACTTTTTAGTTGCCAAAAAAGCTGAATACCTTACCTGTGTTCCACACACAGAGCTTAAATGAGTCTTATGTTGTCAAAAATTTCTCAGGGTGATACAAAAAAAAATACTTACAGACATTTGACATGTCATTCAAACTATTTTATTTGGACCCACTGATGGGCCCAAAGTTTTATTACACACTTCTATAACCTACGAATAGCTGAGCCAGTTTGCACTGAAGTCCCTGTAGTTACTGAATAATAAGACTTTGTATGTAATAAGCCTGGGATTTTAAGGGGTTAACTGAACTTTCAGAACCATGCTGTAGGTGTACACTAGCCTAACTGAGCTTGTGTGTTTTATGTAGGTACTGTGTGCATTGAGTGACTTACTGCTTTTATCCAGTACTGGTGCATTAATACATAATGTGATTGATTTATGTGGTCGTATGTGCATATGGAGTATTTAACCATGGCACTGAATGTGCAAATCGAAATCTGATAATAATTTAATAAATTCGCTGTTGTCGGAAGAAAATCTTTTATCTCCAAAATGGTAACTTCACAGGAGAAGGAAAGAAAAGCTACTTTACTTTTAATGTAAGTCAATGGAACCAGAATTTTTTCCAAGTCATTTTAGGCTGTTTCTTTTGATAAATTCATCATGAAATTTACATACAATGTAAAGAGTAACACGTTCTTTCAAATTATGTCAAAAACTGAAAAAAGACAAAAATGGAGATACAAGGTTTTCTTCCGACAGCAGCGATATGGATAATAGTGAATAACAAATTCATTTTCATTTTAAATGTTTGTTCACTGTATGCAATTAAGTACTAAAGTGGACAAATTAATTTCAAGCTGTCAGTACCAAGTAGCTTTTAGGTGGTCACACAGTTGAAGCTCAAATAAACATTACTCATCACTACCCTCTAAAGCAGAGGTTCCCAATGCCTGATGACCCTATGCTCTGCGTTGTTTTCTCTACTCTGCACACCTGACCCAGAAAATGAGGCACTTGTTAGGTACATTTTTTAAATGAGGTGAGCTGGAGGAGACGAAGCACAGAAATGTGCGTAGTGTTGGATCACCAGAACCGGGACTGGAAACTTCTGCTCTAAAGGTGTATTTAATAAACATCAAATAAACAAATATTACTCACTGCTACCCTTTAAAGGTGATAAGACACCAGTCATCTGCTGTTTTCTTTAAATGCCTGACATGTTTTATTTGTTGCATTTTCTGCTTATTTACATCTATTTGTATAAACTAGGGGTCGGCAACCCAAATGTTAAAGAAGAGCCATTTTGTCAAGTTTCAACAAAAATCTACAACCTTGGGAGCCACAACATTTCATGTCCATTTTATTGAATTTATTTCACCATCTTGGCTGTAAATATGTCTCAGTATGTGCTACAGTGCTAGTATAGACTAAAAAATATAATATAAATGAAAATGCGGACTTACTCTTGCTCTGCTTTAAGCTTTTCTCGCATCTCTGGCAGGAAACTTTTCCGCAAAAGTAGAACAATTTCTTGTAGAATGTCTCTTAATGTTCGATTTTTTACCAGGCTGAAGTCGCTTCTCATTCGCCAGCTTCTCATTCGGATTTTCCTGTTCCACCTTAAGTGATGTATTCATCTCCAAATGATCAACGTTCATCTTAAATCTTGCGCTTTGCCGTTTCATTAGCTAGCTAAGCAAGATTGTCTGTGTTGCTGTGGTGACCAGTGGTCTGCGCACCAGGGTTAAAGGTTGAACAAGGAGTTCTACACTAACTCCAGCGTTTCAGACCGTTTATTGTTAAACTGTGTTGAACGATCAGCAGAGCTTTATTTTACTGTAAAGGAGGATTATTTTATTTTTACTTAAAAATCTATTTATGCTGTGGAGCCACAACAGGGCAGTAAAAGAGCCGCGTGTTGCCGACCCCTGGACTAAATCCAGCTGGAGAGAATGCACCCAATTCATATTATGTTTGTAGCAAGGTAGGTATATGATTCTGGCCACTAACAACTGTGGAAAATAACTGTGGCCTGCTCAAATAAGTTATGTAATTAGGTTATAATCACAATCAGGCAATTATAACTGTGACAGGTCTACTAGTACCTTTTGTAGATGTACATTCTTTCTCAAACCAAGGTTTCACTGTTGGTCACTGCTACCAAGATATACAGTGAGTTTATTAGGTATATCTAATCTATTACACTCACAAACATGGTGCTTCAACAATGTGCATGATTCAAATGTGTCAATTGGTTTTGCATGAAGCACAATGACATCCCTGACTGACACATTCATATCCTATAAATTCAAAGCACAAGCACACTTGACAGTATATTATTCCTAGTAGTCTTTAGGTGTATAACATAGATTAGGGTACCTAATAAACTGGCAATAAATGTTAGGTAAGTATTTTTTTTTATCAAAAAAAAAAAATTGGAATTCTAGATCCTGATCTAAAAACATAAAAAACAACCAATAACTGCTTACAGAATGACTGAAATTGAGTTAAAAAAAAACTTCATTGATATGTATTTATAAATATTTCGCTTATAAAGAGTGTATTAACAGTTTTTTAAAAATCAATTTCCTTTCGTACTGGCTGCCATCAAAATGCCTTGGCTGAAGGAGCCTTTTTTATTTTATTTAAGGTTATTAAGCTTTTTTATTTTTTAGATGCAGTTTAAAAATTACATTGGTTTACAACAAAATTATGTTTTAAGTTAAAGCATGGTTATGAGAAAAAATGATATGAGAAATAAGTGGTTTTAGCAGGCTATAACAAATCCTAGTAAGGCCTAGTTAGGGCTGCGATTAGGCTCTCTTCTCTGTTTATTCCATTTCCACATTTCCACATTTGCATACCCCCAGCCTCCAAAGGCCCATCAGTTCCATTGGGATAAATAAAACATAGAGCACCTCTTAAGATGGAACCACTGGTGCCCTGAAAGGCAAATGGCATGGAGAGATTGGTGCACGCTTATTAAAAAGGGTAATGATACAAGGGTAACGAGAAAACATTAAAAGTATAAAGTTTTGGATATTGGTGCTATATAATTTTGTTTAAAGGGACCAATATGTTGCATTTTTATTGTGTTATAATTTACTCAATAGTTCTTTAGAAATTCATAATTCACCTATGTTTTAGCCATTCTTTGTGCAATACTATTAGGCTCATTTTTCACTGTAGAGCCAAGTGGTTCCCAGCGCTGTACGGTGAAATTCTGCACTGATCAGACTCGTGAGACCAGTTATACGGTTTTGTTTTCCATCTTTTTTCATCCACACATCACAGAGCATGATCTATTTCAACTGTCTTTCCATCACCTGTCATAGACTTTGTGCTCTCAGAAATGGTTGTTCATTCTCTCAATATGTGTTATTTAAGCATCAGTTAGCTTAAATCAAGCCTGTACTGTGGTGGGTGGCACCTTTAGCCTGGTCATACTTCTAACAGCAGAGCGACAACTAAACCTGAATTGTGGTGTTTGGATCTGTAGCCCTAGTAGCTAAGCTGGATGGCTGCTGAGTAGGAGAAAGGAACCAGCTAACATTAGACTAGCTAGGAGGCTACAGATCCAAACACCACAGAACATGTTTGATATTCAGCTTTCGTTGTAGATCAAACCTGTTCTGTGGTGAGTAGAGCTGTTAGCATGCTAAGCTAAAGCTAAACAGCTCCTCTCCTCTTTAGTAGTTGTTGTTAGATTGTTGGTTATATTAATTGGTGGAATAAAATGGTGAACTGCTTTAATTTACTTAGTGATCGTGTGATCAAGTTGAACTAACGCAGGATGTGGTGGCACAATATAGACATAAACATAGAACTGGTCAGTGAATAACTACAGCATTGCATTTTCCCACTGAAATGTTCTATGGCTATGAGCATGGTTAGCTAAATGTGTTGAGAAAACCATGCTGAACATGGCCTATAAGCGTTCCGCGTCTAACAGCGTTTGTGTGGAAATGCCGCTAGAACTTTAATTGTTGAGATTTGCTGAGATATTGAAAAAAATAAAACGGAAAAAATATAAAACATGACGTAACTTCTGCACAGGCCGCATTTAATTTTTTTCCCAATTCCCAGTATGTTAATTCAGCAAAAAAAATATTTTTTTAACGTAACTGTGCGTTAAAATGTAGAGAACATGTTAACTTATTTCCAAAATAAGCATATAATTTGACCAGGGTTGTTTAGACTTTTGCACAGAGACACATACAAAGAAATATAATCAACAAAAATACATGTTATTGAAAAATGATGGTAATGCTGTTCTTTCTACTGTTATTAAGTGCAGGTTTGTTTTTGGCATTATGAAGAGGTTATCAGGTTATTATAGCTGTTTGCACACTTTTGTTGCAGGTACCATGGAATTCTTTTGCTTTCCAAATCCGAACCACTGATTTGACTACAGCCCACACTTGCGTCCACATGTAGAGAGAGAGAGATGGACAGACAGGCTTGGTTGGTTGGAGAGCGTCAAGGTTAATGTGTTATGTGCACGAAACTGTGTGTTGAGCTGTTCACAC